TTTACTTACTTTGCTTTATAAATTCTTTGATTTAATTCTGTCAATGTTTTGATTTCTGTAATTGTGGGCTTTTTACGATGCCTGCTCAACACCGGTACCAGAGGTAAAGTTAACCCTGATATCATTTCTTTCAGGTGCATCTAATCACCGACTGTAGTCAATCCGCATGCAGCATACTGCGTTGTGTTCCCTTCTCTCGCCAAAAGTTTGAGTGCATTGCCGTCAATTTTCTATTCTGTATTGAAGGAAGAAAAACCGAAGAAACCATTAATCATTGTTACAAAACGTAAAGGCAAAATGGGAACGAAAGAAACGAAGTGTCGTTTCAAATTTACACTCAGACATAGTAGCATGCAGGTAATTGGTGAAATGTAAGTCTGGATTGCATGTATACCAAATGAATCTCAGCAAACTTTCCTCAATTTTGGCACATTTAAAGATGATTTTTTAATCGCATCAAAAAGGAGCAACAAAAACGTTTCCAAAGTCGGACCGAAGAACACTGACAGTTCACGATCGAACGAATTTACAATTTTAATATGGATTTGCTACATATGTACAACTTACCTTCGAACTTTTTAGCCACATCGTCGTTAAACTTCTCCCGAATTCGTTTGGAGACCTCATCCACCGTCCACTTTGTTAATTGCCTTGAAGCTTCCTCCATGTTATTAGGTTACGGCGATGTTATGACCCTTACAAGCCAAGCATACAATCTCCGCCCGTGAGATAAGTGAACGCTCATATTTACGACATGCTAATAACCACCAAACTACTCTACTGAATATTATGGAGAACGAGTTGTCACAGGAAGGAAAATTATGAAATAACATGATGAACAGCACTTGACGATCTGCGTGCTCAAGGAATTGGCTGAACTAATAGAAATTTTATTGTCCTTTACAATGAATTTCCGGTGACTAAATAGGCATTAACACCAACATAACTGTAAGGGGGTAGATTAAGGGTAATTGGGCCAAATCTTGCAGGCTTTTCTTTTTATCCAGAAGTTTAGTGACATCACCTTGGAAAGGTAAATGCAATCGACGGTAGGGCATCATGTGGACAATTATATTTACTATATTCGTTTTCAGGGACATTCGTCTGATAAATGCGCTCATTGCTTTTAAAATGAACAATCTTTGCAAATGTTGCCATATTCCCGAATGTCAATAACTTACAACTGTGATCATCTCGGTAATGAACCAAAAGAACGGTGTTTCAATAAAATCGAGCGAGGGAATTTCCAGTACAAACATTTTGGACGGTACACTATTTAAACTGTCGAATAGTTCTCGAGAAAACTAGAGCAATTTTCTCATTAATCATTCTTGTATTATTCATGAATAAGAAATAAAATAGAGTGATCCTAATGGTCTGCATTGCACATACGTTTTGACAGCCGGTTTAACAAAATCAATAAACTAAGAATGGGGAAACTAGAACTTATATTGTAGACTATTCCTTTCTGATTCTTTTCTGATTTCTTTTGATTTCCATGGATTTTTCATAAGCTGAATTTGCATTTTATTCTTGTCTTTTTTGTTTGTTTTTAATCAAAGCGAATAATGCCTCACAAATAAATCAGCGAGTCAGGCTATGACACATGGTAGCAGTTTGTTTCCTTTGAGAAAAGGTAGCTTCCTTACCTCACAATACATGATATAACCAAGCCTCTTATTCTTCAATCTTCTTCAATGATTGAATCTATGAGCTTCATTATCAATTAAGAAGGGACTATTCCCATTTCTTTCTGTTTCCGGTTTCCTAATTATCTGCCTTAAGAAAGTTGAGACACTGGGAAGAGAAATTTTTTGAGTTTCCTCATGCGATTAGAAAGACCAGAAGTTCTAGTTCGATCACAAATCCTGTGACAAATTCTTAGTAACAATGAAACTTTTTGATTTTCAAATATGAATTTAGTTCAAGTCAGGCACAACTGTCTATCACCTGAGTGAAATGTGAACAAAGGTAGAAAAAACTGAATATTAAAACCAAAACTCTTAGTAATTTTTTTTTTTTTTTTTCTAATGAGATTATCATTTGGTATCTATTTGTTTATAACCTGTATGAGCTTTCTTAACATTGATTTATTATACTCCAAGTGTAACTGTTTTAAAACTACAATTAATTCCGTTGTCATTCCTTTAGGTCCATTTGCCGATAATCTTTAAGTTCTCTTTGAAGTTTGTAAGACTTTTCACTAATCTTCAGACTGCTCCAACATCGAGGATGTACATAATAGATTTTTGGCTTTTAACGTTCACTCACAAAAAGATGAAAGACAGAAATCGGTAGGAATATGATTCAACCTAAGGGCAAAATGTTTCTTTTACATCACGTGACGAGATGAAGGAACCAAAAAACCTAGGTCAAAGTATAATATATAGATTTAGCCAAGCCTAAAAGCGGAGCTCGTATTTTTTTTCCCCGCACGTCTCAAGGGCACAACGCCTTGCCCCGGCCAGGACTAGAACCCGGGTCGCCCAACTCGCAGCCCAGTGCACTGACCACTGAACTATTGGACAAAACCGTGGCGTTGGCGTGCCCGCGGTACAGTTAACCACGCATGTTAAAAGAAGCACCTTGTACGGTCGTACGGTCGAACAGTCGTACATCGAAATTTTTTCGGCTTGATGGGCTACTACTATTTTGCATAATTTTGGGGCTACGCTCTGCGAGCTCCGCTACTATTTACGACAGTGACCCAGTGAGTTGTCTAGTTTCTACGGTTCGCTTACCTGCGAGTTAACAAAGTCGATGTACTTCAACACGGAAGCTGAGTCAGTTCAGTAGTAAACTTGGTCTGCTGTCATTTCCAATTCTTCTCTAATAATTCTGGAGAGCCTTACGCAGATAACACTGACTGTCAGTTCCAATATTGGAATTGAAATTTCATGTATGGGACTTGCTTCTTCCATGACAAATGCACAGTGAACTTGGTTAATGACATTTTTCAAACGGAAGTAAACGAAGGCTGAAATTCATTATCATGGCCAATTTACATTGTCAACTCAGTTGGTAAAGCCAAATAGTTTTTTAATACCCCACCAAAGTTTCTTCAAAAACTTACCCCGTTATTTATAGAAACTATGCATGTGGAAAGTTCTCATTGCAAAAGTTAAGATAAAGTCTGTCAGTTAAGATAAAGTCATGTAATGTTCTGCAAAAATCCCAATTTGAGGAAAATGAAAGGTGACCAACCAACTTCTTCACTTTTTGTTTTTTTGTTTTTAAGTGGATGTTGTGAAGTCTAACACTTTCAGCTTGTTACAAATAGTTTCCGGGTGTAATCGACCCAGCCCGTTTTTGTAACTTAACATGTGTGTTCCTGTTTGAAGTGACTCGTTATTAATCAAGATTATCGACCATTTAGTATTGTGTTACTAAAAATAATGTTTCCCTGATAACAGGTGAGGATTGCAATGGAAACCTAACAGCAGAAGCCATGGCACTCATGGCTCCACTCAGATTGCATTCAGAAAGCCATTGAGATATGCAGCGAATGTTTGATTTTGCTAAATGGCACCGATCAAAACAGCAAAGACCAATTTGATTCAGCACTGTTACAATTTTACAGCGACATCTATACCGTTCTTTTCAGCGCTTATCGTCATATCTCTGACTACATAAGTGCGAAAAGATACGGAAGGAAACTGTTTGACTTATACAGAGGGTATGGAATTATGTTTTATAAACTTGGCGAAAGCCTAAAAGCAAAGGAATATTTTGAGAGGGCCCTTGCCATAACAACTAAAATCGGCGACAGACGAGGGGAAGCATCATGTTATGGAAACCTAGGCACTGTGTTTGAGTCACTTGGCCAATACGACAAGGCTGAAGAGTATCTCCAAAAAGCGCTTGTCATCAGAACTGAAATTGATGACAGAGAAGGGGAGGCAACTGACTACGGAAACCTTGGTACTGTGTTTACGTAACTTGGCCAATACGACAAGGCTGAAGAGTATCTCCAAAAAGCACTTCTCATCAGAACTGAAATTGGCGACAGACAAGGGGAGGCAACTGACTACGGAAACCTAAGTACTGTGTTTCTGTCCGTTGGCCAATACGACAAGGCTGAAGAGTATCTCCAAAAAACGCTTGTCATCAAAACTGAAATTGGCGACAGACAAGGGGAAGCAACATGTTATGGAAACCTAAGTACTGTGTTTATGTCGCTTGGCCAATACGACAAGGCTGAAGAGTATCTCCAAAAAGCGCTTGTCATCAGAACTGAAATTGGCGACAGACGAGGGGAAGCATCATGTTATGGAAACCTAGGTACTGTGTTTAAGTCGCTTGGCCAATACGACAAGGCTGAAGAGTATCTCCAAAAAGCGCTTGTCATCAGAACTGAAATTGGCGACAGACGAGGGGAAGCATCATGTTATGGAAACCTAGGTACTGTGTTTACGTCGCTTGGCCAATACGACAAGGCTGAAGAGTATCTCCAAAAAGCGCTTGTCATCAGAACTGAAATTGGCGACAGACCAGGGGAAGCAACATGTTATGGAAACCTAGGTACTGTGTTTATATCGCTTGGCCAATACGACAAGGCTGAAGAGTATCTCCAAAAAGCGCTTGTCATCAGAACTGAAATTGGCGACAGACGAGGGGAAGCATCATGTTATGGAAACCTAGGTACTGTGTTTCTGTGTTTAAGTCTGAAGAGTATCTCCAAAAAGCGCTTCAGAACAAATACGACAAGGCTGAAGAGTATTTCAAAAAGCGCTTGTCATCAAAAAGGCTGAAATTGGCGACAGACGAAATTGGGACAGAAGGGAAGCATCATGTTATGGAAACCTGGGTACTGTGTTTCTGTCCGTTAGCCAATACGACAAGGCTGAAGAGTATCTCCAAAAAACGCTTGTCATCAAAACTGAAATTGGCGACAGACAAGGGGAAGCATCATGTTATGGAAACCTGGGTACTGTGTTTCTGTCCGTTAGCCAATACGACAAGGCTGAAGAGTATCTCCAAAAAGCGCTTGTCATCAGAACTGAAATTGGCGACAGAGAAGGGGAGGCAACATGTTATGGAAACCTAGGTAATGTGTTTCAGTCGCTTGCTCAATACGACAGGGCTGAAGAGTATCTCCAAAAAGCGCTTGTCATCACAACTGAAATTGGCGACAAAAATGGAGAAGGAGCATGTTATGGAAACCTAAGTAATGTGTTTCAGTTGCTCGGAGAATACGACAAGGCTAAAGAGTATCTCTACAAAGCGCTTGTCATCAGAACTGAAATTGGCGACAGACAAGGGGAGGCAACTGACTAGGGAAACCTAGGTACTGTGTTTACGTCGCTTGGCCAATACGACAAGGCTGAAGAGTATCTCCGAAAAGCGCTTGTCATCACAACTGAAATTGGCGACAGAGAAGGGGAGGCAACTGACTACGGAAGCCTAGGTTCTGTGTTTAAGTCGCTTGGCCAATACGACAAGGCTGAAGAGTATTTCCAAAAAGCGCTTGTCATCAGAACTGAAATTGGCAACAGACGAGGGGAAGCATCATGTTATGGAAACCTAGGTACTGTGTTTACGTCGCTTGGCCAATACGACAAGGCTGAAGAGTATCTCCAAAAAGCGCTTGTCATCAGAACTGAAATTGGCGACAGACGAGGGGAAGCATCATGTTATGGAAACCTAGGTACTGTGTTTAAGTCGCTTGGCCAATACGGCAAGGCTGAAGAGTATCTCCAAAAAGCGCTTGTCATCAGAACTGAAATTGGCGACAGAGAAGGGGAGGCAACTGACTACGAAAACCTAGGTACTGTGTTTACGTCGCTTGGCCAGTACGACAAGGCTAAAGAGTATCTCCAAAAAGCGCTTGCCATCCAAACTAAAATTGGTGATAAGGAAGGGGAAGCAACAGTTCTTGGAAACCTTGGAATTTTTTTTAGAACTGTTGGTGATTTTGAAGCTTCGGAAATATGCTTGGAGAAAGCTTTATTCATATCCGGAGATATTGGAGATGGAAGAAGAGAGTTTGAAATCCTCCGAGAACACGCCGTTTTGTATTTATATCAATATAAAATCAAAGACTCCCTGTCGTGTCTTCATCTGTGCATTGAAAAGTATGAGGAGCTGAGATATCTCTTGGGCGCCAATGATCAGTTCAAAACATCATTTCTGGAGAACACAGGAATGTTTCCCTACAAGCTGCTTTGTACTTTGCTTTGTGACATCGGAAATGCTCGGGATGCTCTTTATGTTGAGGAGTTGGGTCGAGCTAGAGGCCTATCAGACTTAATGGCAGAGAAGTACTCGGTTGACACGCACATCTCTGCTAATCCACAATCTTGGTTTGGCATTGAGAACATTTTAAGAAAGAAAAATAACTGTACTTGTCTGTACATTTCTTATTTTCATCGTCTGCATTTGTGGATCTTGAAAACAAGTGGAATCCTTCACCACAGAAGAGTATCACCAGAAGAGAATCTAGTTCAGGCTGGGTTGCCCAGAGATTTGTCTTTGAGTCAATTTTTGGATGATAATTTCCGGAGTCTTGGTATTTTGCCCACTAAAGATTGTGAAGATCGGTCTTTAAATACGATTAAATTGCAACCTCTCTCCCCCGCGCAAAAGAGCTCAGCAAGATTGCGACTTATGGAGGAGGACGAGGACGAGGACGAGGACGAGGACGAGAAAGTGATTTCAAGTCTATATTTGTGTTACAAAATGTTCATTGCCCCCGTTTATGATTTGCTTGATGAGCCTGAAGTCATTATTGTTCCTGACCGCAGGTTGTACAAAGTTCCCTTTGCTGCCCTGAGTGAAAAGGAGGGAGCCGAATACTTGTCAGAGACGCATAAGATCCGTATCATTCCTTCGTTGACAACACTCAAGAACATCCAAGATAGTCCAGAGGACTATCACAGCAACACTGGCGCCTTAGTAATAGGCAATCCCAAGGTTAATTGGCTGCAACCATTGCCAGCTGCAAGAAAGGAAGCGGAGATGGTCGGAAGACTGGTCGGTGTTCCGCCTCTAGTTGAAGAGAAAGCAACGAAGCAGGCGGTACTTGAGCAGATAAGTTCAGTGAGCTTGATACATTTTGCTGCCCATGGTGACGCGGAAAGAGGAGAAATTGCACTCTCCCCCATTCCTACTCCCAACAGTCAAAACGCTATCCCACCGCGGGAAGCTTACATGTTGACGATGGCTGATGTTTCACGAGTGAAAGTCAGAGCTAAACTGGTGGTACTTAGCTGCTGTCACAGTGGAAGTGGAGAGATAAAAGCCGAGGGAGTTATAGGAATTGCTCGTGCGTTCTTAGGATCTGGTGCTCGCTCGGTGTTGGTTGCGCTGTGGGCCATTCCAGACTCAGCAACAGAGCAGCTGATGAGTCGGTTCTACGAACACCTCATTGAAGGAGGAAGTGCCAGTGAATCCCTTCATCAGGCCATGAAGTGGATGAGAAAAAACGGCTTGAACAGAATTTCTGAGTGGGCTTCGTTTACGCTGATTGGAGATGATGTGAGACTCGAGTTTGACAACCAGCGGCAAGACTCGGTGAGAACAGGTATTTATCATTTCCAAAATATTAATTGAGGTAATAATAAATTGGGTTATTTCAAATTTTTTCTTGCAGGAAAAAAGACTCCGATAGAGTTATTAATGACAAGTACTCAAAGGGAACAAAGTTAAAAGACTTTTAGATGGATAAATTAAATAGAAATAAGTAGAGAAAATACTCTATCCAGTATTTCATCGACATTTAAAAAAAAAGCGCTATCCCAGGTTAGGGGAGAGTTATTCCAATTTTTGCTGCTTTCTTTTCTAATATTCTCAGGAGGAGGTTATGGTTATGTACTCAACAATTTTTTGCTTTTCACGCAAAAATTATATTCTAATATAATAGGCACGAAACAATGTTGACCCACGTAAGGCTTTTGAGTAAAACGAATTCAGTAAAGTTAAGACAGTAGTTTAAGTATTAAACAAACCACTAAAATCTGGTTTAATTTTTGTATTTTCAAGAATGAATTTGATGTAGCATCTGAAGGGATCTTGTCAACCACGCCTCTGTTTTTGTCAATATACGGGTAACTGCGGAGAGATTCGTTTATTCTAACTCAACGTCTAGCAGGAGTCGTGCCGGCACGTAAACACTTTTTAAGTGGCATTAAGATAGGATTCGCAAAAGGAGAAGCGTTGCACATCCTAAAAATAAGTCCGAAGCACTTCACATTTAAAAAAATCGTACAGAGCTTAAAAATACGACTAAAAGAGGGGAAAGAGGATACCTGACGAAGTTCTGGAGAAATACGTGTCTGAAGTTATCTGCTCCAGTAGAGAAGGATCACTTCCGGCTTTACAAAAGCTCAAGAACACACTGATGTGGAAATGTCACATTCAAAATCACATCGCCAAAAAAACATTAAAGTATATCCTGGCCAGAACTGACCTTTGGAGACAGAAGTTTAAAATCGCTTGCAGATGGCGGGAGTGTCATGCGGGCATGTCAATACTTCAATTTTTAACTGGTCACTTGCCTCTTGTGCTATGCACCCTGCGCGAAGTTTGTCGACTCTTAAATGCAGAAAAATCTCTGCCAATTGGCTATGAGTTAGATCTCTGAAATATGGAAGTAATCCTGTCTTGGAATAAAGAGTTCATCTGTTATAGAATAAGTTGATTCGTAACACCCTGTATGTAAGGAATAACAACAAAACTAGTCGATGGTTCCCTTTCATCAAGAGCGTTACTATTTGTAACTGGTTTTTGGCAGTTACGGAGAAAAGTTTTTGTATAGCCATTTGCCCATTTAGATTTTAGTGAAAAGCGAAACAACGTCGAAAGATACTAATTCTTCACAAGCGTTGAGAGTTTTATCTTTTATGAAATCCGCAAATTCGCAGGAATTTTGACAGTGTAATCAATATTCCAAACAACAGGCGACAAAATTCTCGCAAGATAACCAGAAATTGCATAAGTCGGAGAATTAACAAAAGAGACAATTAGTCTCAAAGGAATTCCCGGTTTATGAATTTTAGGTAAGCCATAAAAACGTGGACATAAGCCGTCACTACTGTCTAACATTTTGTACGTGGAGTCACTAATTTTACCAGCTTTTTGCAAATCAAGCAACATTTTGTTTAACTTTCTTTGAGGTTTTACTGGTAGGATCAGAGTTTAAGATAGCATACGTACTCTTGTCATTAAGCAGAGTCAAAGCTTTGTCGTGATATTGCTGTTTGTCCATTACCACAACACAATTACCCTTGTCAGCAGATAATACGAGTCTGTCCGGATCCTTGTTGAGAGCTATAAGTGCATTGAAAACATCCTTTTGAATGTTTTTGGGGGGAGGTTTAGATCGTGACGATGGCGGTGTGCTTCCTGACGCCTATTTACACCTCGTCAGAAAAACATGGGTCTATGAATTGTAACTTCGGTTACATTCATGAAATCTGCAAACCAGAGTAGCATCAAACTATGTCTGATTGTCCAGGTTGCCGTGTGAACTTTAATGTATTAGATAAGAAGGCATTTGCTTACCTTGGCTCCTTTGATCACTGAACCAGTCGGCCTACGGTTGATGAAGTTCGGGATCTTTTGGTCGGTAACGGCCCACGGAAGCGCGCTTGACAAGGTGATACAAGATGTCCTACTATTGCGCCACTTCCAAACCATTGATTCGGAAATTCCGTATTCCCTCGCTATCTCTCGATTGTTGTTAACTGCTTCAGTTACGATTTTCAACTTAAAGTTGAGATCGTAAGAATGATGGCGAGTGTTTGGCATGATTGTGCTGAATGTAGTCTTCGCAAGATAATGTTCAGCAGGTAAAGTAAATTTACGACTACCGATTTTGTTGATCGAATTGTTTTTATACTTTAAAACCATGTTTCCCGAGAGGGAAGGCTAAAAATTAATGTGTACCGATAGGTTGCATTAAATGTGTGACTTTTTTTGCCTTTTGTTTATCACTGTGATTAAATGTGTGACATTTTTCGGCTTTTGTTTATGTGTGCGACATTTTGCTTTTGTTTAATCAAGGCTTTTGTTTGTGCGCGTGGTCGCGTGTGCGACAATTCTGCTTTTGTTAAAAAGGGAATAACATGACTTTTTAAGGGAATATTGTTTATTTCGCGCGAGGGCCGCAAATGACACTTCAAGGGCGCAAATAAACAATATTCCCGAAAAAAGTCATGTCATTATCATTATTATCAATAAACAAGGCCAAATGATATCAAGAATGCGAGTTTTAATAATACAAGCTAAGTGAATGACGAATTCAAAGTCACTTCAAATCATCATGTAAGCTGTAGGGCTGATAATGCATTAGCAGCCCGCTGTCGGTCTTTTGCGGCCCGCTGAGCGTGTGTTTTGAAGAGGCCGATTTTCTATTTGGCCGCGTATATTGATAATAATTAACGGTAAACTAAAATCAATACGCGACTTTTTCGCTTTTTTGTAAGTTTATGAAAGAATTTACAATAAACTTGACCGATCTTTACTCCTCAAACAACGATGCGCCTTATAACCAAGTATTTTAGCGATATTTTCAGTTTGAAAACATGCAATAATGAAATTGCCAAATTGGGGGTGCGTCTTATAGCCGAGTGCGCCTTATAATCGAATAACTACGGTAGTATGGAGGTAATTACCAGCACTGATCTGGTTCTTACTTGTTCTGCACTTTTCCATGCAGAACGTTTCCTGTGAAAAGATCATAATCCATGTATTTTTGTTTTGAAAAGCACCAATTTAAAACTAAAAAGTTTAGTCCAGTTGCAATGTGATGAATCACTTGCTAACTTTTCTTGCTCAAATTCTACTGAGGAATATTGGCCATCCGTTGTTTTTGTGAGGAACTCAGGAAAATGTTCTCTTGTATGGCCCTCAGGCTTGGTAAGAAGTTATCATTTGCAGTTATGGCTGAATTAATCTGCTGCAAATTTACATTTATAAAATGAATGAGAGACAGTTGATTTCATTTTGATTCATATTTTATATTTTTAATATGGTTGACGTGGTGGGCATGATCACCACATCCACCGTGTAGGAGTGGCCTTTCCCTCCTAAGTTGAAACATTTTTTATTTCTTTGATAGAAAAAAAATGAAAAGTTGAGGAAAGCCAATGCAATTGCAAGGAGATGTTACCCAACTGACAACTATACTCACAAGATCTAAATAAATTACCCTTTTGCCCTAAAATCCCTATTTGTATTATCATAGATTTTTATCTTTCAATGTCTGCTTATGGCAGCTTTTGTTGGATTGGAAATAAAACAGTCTTTGTATATGTGTATGTGCTGGAAACTTATTTTCCAAAAACAAAATTTTTATTTGATCTGTATTAAATTTTAATTTCTTTGTCAACAGTCAAAAATAATCATATAGTATCACCTTTTTTTTTCCTTCTCACCGTTAAATCTTTGAAAAATTATTTAATCTTCTATTTAAGAATTGTTAAGAAATGGAATTTATTTTAATACAAATAAGGATTTATACTGTTTAGTAGTATCATTTGTGGCTCTAATGAAACAAACAATGTATTTTCACAGTTGTTAGCTTCCGATCTTTGTTGGACAGTAAGAAAAAATTTTGGTATGTATGAAATGGAAGCATCATACCATGGAAAATGCTTGAACAATTTTTATCCGCTTGTCGCGTTGATCAAAAAAATTCACTAGTTCACTGGGCTCACATGTTAATTTTTGTTTGATGCTATAAATCTCATTTGTGCACCTTTCCATGGAATAATCTCTGTTTGTTACAGATTGAAAAATATTTCTTGGGCCCCATACTGTTTCTAAAATTTAACTTCTTTTTGCATGAACATGATAAATTCAAGATTTTCTAAATACTGTGGAAAATGGCATCTAAAACAAATGTTAGCCCAGTTTATTGTAATGTCAGTTGTTGTTAGGTTACTGTTTACTTTACTTCACCATTCCACTTCTTCTTCCCCTTCTCTTTTTTATTATTTTTCTTGTCCACATCTATTTTATGAAAAAAACAATACTTGGTTTGAACAAGTTTATTAAAAATACTGCACAAGTTCTATAACTGTATTAGAAAAGGTTTCTCTGAAGTGACAATAGTATTGAACCAATTGAACCAAGTGATAGTAACATTGCAAGATTATGAACTTCTACTTCACTGGAAATGGTCAAAGGAAAAACAGTTTGCTAACCAGACATCATTTCTTATTGCTTAGACTTTAACAGGAAAGTTGTATTTCAAGGAGGCTATGGTGTCACTTTTCCAACTTCCTACAGAGGTGAAAGACTATTCACTGTTTACTTAACAAATAGAGAAGCCTTGACTGTGCTCTGTTCTGTTATAAAGCACGCAGGAAGCGGCTAGAGCACGAAAGAAGTGTAGGGAGAAACACGATACGTAGTCGAGTGTTTCTTCCCACTTCTTGGGCGTCTCGAGAAAAAACAAACCATTAATTTATGAATGACACCCACAAGAAAATGAAAAGTCCATGAGTACAATTAGTCAATTTTCAGAACGGATAGCTTACTGTTTAAAGACAGAAGCT